GAGAGAGAGAGAGAGAGAGAGAGAGAGAGAGAGAGAGAGAGAGAGAAGGAAAGAGAGAGAGAGAGAGAGAGAGAGAGAGAAAGAAAGGAAGAGAGAAACGCACAGGATGAGGCTAAGACAATTTTTCACTAAGAGAGAACATAACAGAGACAGAGGAGGAGAGTCTTCCCTTCTCCAGGAAGCAGGAAAAGAGTTGTGTGAGACACAGTAATAAACAGCAGTGTCATATAAACAGCTGTATGAAAAAATAAACACGTGTCATAAACGTGTAGACAAGTTACGTGAATTGATCAATAATTCAGTAGTGAAGCAAATAACCAACGTTCAAATAACGATATTTTCAAATTATAATAGACACGTGCCATAAACGTGTAAACTAGTTAATTGCATTCACCAATAATTCAGGAGTCAATCAAATAACCAACGTTCAAACAATGATATTTTCAAATTATAACCCATGATAAATTGTACATATTATAATAGCATCATGCTATTAGAAGTATTACAATCCAGTGTCAGTCCAATTCGCATGTAGAACTAGTGCTCTATAATGCGGTAGAGTATTTATAGCATCCTTAACATGATGAAATATTATCGTGTATTTAAATCAGAGTGAACCAATTTCACTTATGTTTCCATAGCAACAGGGGGCAGAGACAACTGCAGATGCTGAGCCAACTCTTCCAAGACATTGCTCACATTCCACATCTGCATATTAAACTTTTTTTGAGAGAAATGCTTAAAAGAGATGTTGTGCAGAAGTTGCTGGAGTCGTTGCAGAATGTTAAAAATAAATATTTGCTTACATTTTTTATGTTTGGACAAGAGGATCAGTGATGAAAATACAGTGTATTTGCAAGCAAGAAACAGCTAATTTATTTCCTACAGTTAGACAGAGACAGTGTGAATAAAGTGAGCAAGTAAGCGAGCGAGTGAGTGAGTAAGAGAGCATGAGAAAGAGGAAGAGATAAAGACAAAAAATAAAGAGAGAGAGCTATAAGAAGAACAGAGACAGAGGAGAAAAACATCACCTTATTTTCAGCACTGACACTGAGGCCTTGCAGTCGTGATGTCATCTTGGAGAGACTCTGTTCAAACGCCATCACTACATGACCCTGCAAATAAATCACAATATACATAAACTTTAGTTTTATGCTGCATTAAACTAATTTAGATTCAATGATCATGCTCGGGAAGGAGTTGGGAATCAGGCACAGATAAGAAATTATGCATTACATGTTTAGTTACATGTTGATTGATGTCAAAACTTCATCATTGTCTGTCACAAGAACAGAAGGCGGACCACAATGAACAGCAGAAGCTGTGTCCCGAAATCCATTAGCATCGGCAGCCATATTCGATCAAAAACCATGCGAGGGGTCACTACGTAAGGGTGGCTGTCGCTTTGCGTACACGACCCAGTCTCAATGGGGATGTCTGAATCACAACCTATGATACATGAGTGCAGCACAATATCATTGCATATACATCATTGCATGGTATTTCTCTACACAGTGGCGTAGCCTAGCAACTGCATTGATACGTTGTCAGGTTGCTGACATTATTTTTTAACAATTTGCCATAAAGTGAGTTTGCAAAGTAAATTTCAAAACGAAAATGTGCATCTTCATATAGACATGTCTACTTAACCCACTCATACATGCAACTCCAGTCATGAGTGGAACTAGCAAGCTGGCCTGCCACCTAATCCAAAGAGTTGCAAAAATAACGCAGGGGTACATTTTGGCGCGGGTCCGTCCCAGCATTCAGACAGCAGCTGTTAGTTACACTGCCAGGGGAACTCTCCCCGTATTGCGATCAGTAGCCATGGAAGCAGGTACGACTGCCTGCTGGCCTATCCGCTTACAGTGACAACAAACAGCAGTATCATTAACAGCTACTTTTCACTAGGATTCCTGATAGTCGAAGTTACCCTACCCTTCCCCCACGTGCGTCCGAGAAAGAGCATGCGCCCTAGAACGGCTTCATTGGCCTACGACGTAGACATAACGCATGCTGTATAGATTTTTTATGGTTATCAGCCATATGACTTGCGTTACTTATTCTTACGTTATCATAGTATCTTCACGTTATCTAAAGTCACACGTATTCACACAAATTTATAGCGTACTTGTGCACACGTGCATATAAACAACTATGCGCTCAACGCAATAACAAAATCTGGCATGGTTTTCGGAGCAATGAGTATAATATATACGCTGTAACTGAAATGTGGACGAGATAATTGTAAATAAATAACTACTTAGAGGCTGGTATTTCTCATGTCGGCCGTCTACCTTGCTACGTTAGCATGTCAATACGTGCATATTCAATACTAACACAACGTCTCACATACGACCCGGGCCACTAATGAAAACAAACATGCATGCTAATGTCTACATACCATGCTATAATATATACGCCGCTTGCGTAAAATGCGACGGCTGCAAGTTCTGTGCGAATGTAGACTTCGCACGTGTATATATATATATATATATATATATCAAGAGACCATAATAGAGTCTATTATGGACTCTTGATAATATATATAGCGTGGTAAATTGAATACTGGAGTAATCAGTAATATGGCCGCTAATAGGTGAGAACTTATTTGTATACGTTTTTATTTTTATTTTTATTTGAGAGATAATAAATTTAGACCAGAACGACGTCAATAACAAGTACCAGTCCACACGGTTTCCTCTGCAAACGCAGCCGAGATACGCCCAACAGCAACCTCACCAAGTTCATATTCTGCGATTCCTCTTCATAAGCACTACACAGCGTAAAAAACACATTTCAGCGCATATCGACTCGCATCGCGCAAATCAAACATCTTGTTCGGAGTAGTTATCGCAGATTGTATACGCGTATCTTCGCCACTAATAAAAAAATCAGTAACAATAAAAAATAGTAATAAATCAAAAACATGAAAGCGCACGTCTCGGTACTGCAAATTGGCAAGGCGCGCGAACGAATGCAAGTCGCACATTAGGATGCCGCACAAGTTCACTACGCCTGGTCCTGCGGCAGAGAGATGTCATGTGTTAATGCCGAACACAATAAGGGAAAATTACGTGAGTCATCGCCAAATATGTGAAGCACAAACGAATATATCTAGAACATGAATATTTTAACCTTATCCGTCCGACATGCTCGTTTGGTTCGGAGACATTCACGTACAAGTCTGTGCGCGCAAAAATATTCACAAGAGACCATCCATGCATGGCTACACTCTTTTCTTTCACTGCAATGATATACCGCGTTTTGTGACGCGTTACGTGCGTATGCGTTTCTTTATTTGTTTGTATATACATCTCTAAATAATCCCTAAAAGCACAACTTGCCGTTGTGCATAGTCTAGCCTGCTCGATCAACATACCCATGCATCCAAGCCACATGTCAGTATCCATCTACCGCTAGTTTGCATAACCTGAGAACGCATCTCGCATCGCTCCCCCACATGACAATCCTTCTATGCTGTGTCGAAGATTGAGCAAACACTAACCAACTACTTGAACAAAATGTCTTGCGCCCCCCCCCTCATTTTGATTTCTCTGTTTGTTGCTAATCCAAATTATATTAGAAAACCCCAATTAAACTGCAGCAGCAGCAGCAGCAGCAGCAGCATCCGCTCGTAACTACCACAGGTGGCGGACGTATACAAACGTGACCCTGTGTAAAATTAATGCCTGCAGGCCTTCCACGCGAGAAGGCAGCCCCACCTCTCTCTCAGCAGCCGCCTCCTTCTCTCCTTACTGCGGAGATACGCAGATGCACACCCGTGGGTATGGAGGCACACAAGGGGATCGCTATGCTCGAATCGGCTGTTTATCAGTTACTGTGTTTGTACACGCGCACGGATACTAGCATGCGGGCCCCTCCCACCCCTGGGCTAGCCCCCTTCCCAGTGAGATGGCCCTTCCCCCTCCAGATGACCCCTTTAAGAAAAATCCCTGTTTCCCACCGTGTCTCCATCTCCTATGGAGCACGGGCCGCCTTCTTTGCTATTAACGCAGTGTCTCAATCATGCACCGCTTTCCCATTATGTCTTCCTTTCGTTCGGACTCCACCCTCTCTTTCCGATCACGATCAAACCCACTTCCCCACATGCCATTTCTCACCATGCTTCTATTCCCCATCGTATCTCTCCCTTTCCTTTGAACCCAATAAATTTCCCACCGAGCCATCCCCCCCCCGTGCATCTCCCCACCGCGCTACATACTGAAGGCTACCAGCTCATTTGAGCGTTACAGCCAGCACGATCCGCAGCGTTCACCCGACGGAGATTATACACAACATACGCGCGCCGTGTTTTGAGATGTGCGCACAACGCCACTACCGTCGTCGGTCTCGTGTTGGCAGACGTGGCCACAGGCACTTGGAGCGTTTCAATAAAATATAATACTAAATAAATACGAAATCTATTTACTATCAAAGTCTTAATGTTTCTATACTCTCTTTCACCTATTATTGCCGACAATTTCCTGCAATTACCGTCCAAATGCTATTTATGTGTCAGTGTGTTAGACGGCATTTGCAGAAAATTGTCGGCAATAATAGGTGAAAGAGAGTATAGAAACATTAAGACTTTGGTAGTACATAGATTTCGTATTTATTTAGCATTATATTTTACTGAAACGCTCCAAGTTCCTGTGGACGTGCATGGCATAACAGCCCCGCGCGTCTACAGTACGCCCCGTTCACTCCAAAAACAGCGTTTTCTTCCATAATCCCGCTGCGATACATTTTTAACAGCGAGCAGCGTGACACCGCACCGTACAGGTGTTATATTCCTATAGTCTATTGTGGCGCAGATTAAAAGCCAGTACGACTAAGGGCTCGTCTAGCCCTGCCAAAATAGCCATTCGCTTCGTCACTGGTTGCTCGGTCTGTGACGGTGCGAAACCCTACATAGGCGGAGATAAGGCTGTTTCTAACCGTCAACTAAACGCAAGCTTGCGGACAAGGTATTACACGATTCGCAGGACTTTCTGTCTGGCCGCAGTCACATATACCAGCGGTACTAGCGAAAGCCTTGGGCACAGGCACTTGGAACGCTTCGATAATAAAATGGTGGCAAATAAACACAAAATGTATTTACTACCAAAGTATTTGTCAGCGTTTCTCAGACAAAGTCATGTTTCTCTACTCTCTTTCGCATATTATTGCTGATCCTGTAAATGCCGTTCAAATGCTGGTTGTTTGTGCACAGCGCCGTGCGTGCGGTGTACTTGTGTGTTGCAGAGGAGCATTATTATAATGGCATTTACAGGAAATTATCAGTAATCGTAGGTGAAAGAGATTAACGAAACAGTAATGCTATAGTAGTACATACATTTCGTCTTTATTTACCATCATTTTATTATTGAAACGTTCCAAGTGCCTGTGGCCTTGGGCTAGTAAACAATTAGACAAGCCTGGTGATCATAACGACCAAAACATTTAGTGAGTCGATTATCTGCTAGTAGATAACACTACGAGACTGAGTGCACCTTCGCCCGCCTGTACACATAGTTCTCATGATGATAGACAACTCGCCTCGTTCTCACAAGGTGACTTCACACGCGAGCAAAGTTCGCAGCTTACACCCATGCAAGCACGGGTATGTACAACAGAAACATTGCCATTTTTGTCCGAACTAGAATTTTCTGGCACCCTACCCAAAAAGACCACAAAAATTCACTGCAAATATCTGCTTCCCTGCTTTCGCTCCCAAGGAAACAGGTTGACTCCTGTTTACCATGTAGCGGTTACAATAGCACACCTGTTATCACTTCAATCAGCCTGGCTGCTGTGTATGCAGTAGCTGGCAAGCAACCGCACTTGCTAAAATTCCACGTGCACACATGTCAACACTGCATGACTACTTGCTACGGCATGTACGTCATCAACATGTTCCGTGCCTGCCGTTCAGTATCATCACGTACGCGACACTGGCTAAGAACCGCTATGGAGACACTCAACTCTCGATCCATGCAAATATGAGATATTAGTATTTCGCGAAACTCACAATGTAGGAGGCTGAAGCAAGTGCGCAAGGAACACACAAAATGACGAAGAGCTGCAAATGTATACGGGGGCGGAGAGACGATATACACACGATATAACTGCG